AATTAGGGTCCCTTTTTGGGTCCCCCCCCAAAGGGACACTAATTTAGAAAACTACCCATATACTTGTTAACCAAGTGGGGATAGGGAGAGGAGGGAGAAAAGCAGATCGAGAGGGAGAGGTGGAGAGAGGGAGTGAGGGAGAGGGAGAAGTCTTGCTAGACATATGTGGAGAGAGGGAGTGAGGGAGAGGGAGAAGTCTTGCTAGACATATGTATCCGTATATGGACATATACGTATGAATTTGTTAGGTGCATGTATGTATATATATATATATATATTTATGCGTGTGTGTGTGTGTGTTTGTTTGCGTTTTTGTTTGTTTGGTTGGTTGTGTGTGTGTATGTTTGGACGATGTGTGTATATACATACATATGTGTGTGCTTACAGATATATACACACAGAAGTATGTCTATGTGTACGCATGTAAGAATATCCTCCTCTGGATATAGACATATATCTATATATACATCTGTGTAAAGACATCCTCACTTACACTTCCATGTATTTGCCCATGTACTTTAGAGGTATAGTTTTGCATGTACTCATCTTATCTATCTGGTTCTGTGAGTCTAAACACGTTTGTAAAGAGCAGTTTACACATTGCATTAATTTACTTACTCATGTGTTTGAAATTTATGTTTGTGCGTTTACTCCTTTATATAGCTACTGTTGATGATATAATCCCGCCTTACCTTAAGGGTCCTAAACTATGGGAATTATGGTATATCCCTGATTATGGGTGATGCAGGATTTATATCATCAACCGTAGCCCTCAACCCTAAACCCTAAACCCTCAACCCCTAAACCCTAACCCCCAAACCCTAAAGTTTGGTGATATTGAGATTCGTGCAGCATGGGCTGAGGCAACCTGGCAGTCGAGCTGCCTGAGGCCTTGAGGGCAAAAAGGTGCCAATGTCTGCTGTGTGAGGACGGTTTAGGGTTTAGGGTTTTGGGTATAGGGTTTTAGGGCTTAGGGTATAGGGGTTTAGGGGTTTAGGGTGTAGGGTTTAGGGTTTAGGGGTTTAGGGTTTAGGGTGTAGGGTTTAGGGAGTGAGGACTGGGAAGATGGGGGAAGGCTTCTGTGAAGCCGAGGGATTTAGCGTTTAGGGTTCAGGGGTTTCGGGTTCAGTAAGATAGATGCTTTGTAAACATGTCAACATGCAGAATTGTGGTATGTTATGCTAAAAGTATATAAAAGACTGTAGGGGGACGCCCATTCAAATTATCCCGGACCCTATAGTGTCGTCTGTCGGTGTTCTTGTTAGTGTTTCGACTCTGAGGCTTTAGAGGGTATTGGACCCTATTAAACTGCCAAACCCTACTTTTTTGTAGGTTGTCATTATAAACCCTAATGTGGAATTTATAGGGACCCTGCAAAAAAGTAGGTTTTGGTAGGTTAAGGTAAACCCTACTGAGTTTCTCCGCGTGTGGTCTTTCATGCTTGCTGAGGACCCCTGATTTATCGACCCCCGGCTGCCTTAACAAGGATGGCAGTCGGGATTCTGATATTGCGACCCTTCAAGAGCAGGGGTGTAATACTCATTTGGTCAACATTCGAGATTTTTTCGGGTTGTGTAGGAAAGTTAGGGCAAGCCCGTCGCTTTCCCATGAGCCCCTAAGCGTACACAAACCTTAACCCCAAGACCCCTAAAGCCCTAAAAGCATCAGACCCCTCACGCTTAAGGCTCTCTCTGAGCTTCCGACTTTTCGGAAACGTCGTGGCGGATGAACTTACCGTGGGAGCCAGGGACTCGTCTTGGAGCAGGGTTTGGGGGGATTCTGCATAGGGTTTTAGTCTGGTTTGGTCTTTAGAGCCTTTAGGGGCTCTGGGGTGTTGGGGTTGCTGGGGCTCTTACACGGGGCTTTAGAGCTTTTTTTTAGGGTTTGGGGTTTAGGGTTTTTCTAGGAGTCTTTAGTGAGATTTCACAGGTTGAAACTCTCGGGGCTTTATACCTCCTGCAACCAGAATCTGTACCTGGAGGCTCGGAGGTTCAAGCCTACTTGGAGGTTCATGGGTAGTTATAAGTGGAGTTATAAGTCCCCTAATATAGGTTATAACTATAGTTACCCTACGTATAACCCCACTTCTAACTACCCATGAACCTCCAAGTAAAGGGCACGAGAAGCTGTGGGCTTTCTGGGGGCTTACTTCGGGTTAATGTTGAACCTCTTGGCGCGTGTGTGTATACATGTAAGTATCTAAGGAACCCGCCTCAGCTTTCGGACCTTAAAAACATCCAAACAGCCCAAGTCGGTTTCTTTGAGCTCCTTCAGAAAAAGGCTGCTATGGTTCCCCTCCGTTAACCCGTGAAGCCTTTGCTACAAGGGCTGCTGCACTACAAAAACCCTAAGAACGCTCTCCTCCGAGGTGCTTATAAGGGCTGCTAAAAGAAACCGGAAGAACCACAGTAAGGCCATGCAAAGCCCTAGTTTACAGAGTTATAGAGGTCTTATGTGTTACTCGTTTTCTTGAGTTCCTTTAAAAGAACCCAGCCTCAGACTCTAAGAACCCCCGTTTCTCAGGTGCTCTGCTTCCTGGTGCCCTTCATCATCCCGCTGCCGATCATGGGCCTGGGTCTCTTCGCTGGCTCGATCCAGGCACGAGTAAGTCGCAAGAGCATTTCAGAACATGAAGACTAGTTGTATGAAGAAGAAGAACGATGTTGACATAAGATTAAAGTGGGGTTTAGGGCTTTGGGCCGGGTGTAATAACTGTCTCAAAAATTAGAGTGTGTTGTGGGCTTTATTACACGAACATTGTGACAAAAACAACCCAGGAATAGTAGTACTAATTGCTAAGGCTTTAAGAAATCAAGAACGGTATAAAGATACATCTGACAACTACGGTTTCGGTTGTTGGGGTTTAGGCGGTTCAGGTTCCCAAACAACACCCTTCAAATTTTGACAAAACAGCAAACCCTGTGCGTTAAGGATTCACTTGGGGAAAAGAGAGGTAGATGTATACGGCATACATACAAAAGAAATATACATACATGCATACATATGTGCATGTATATAATACATATGTATCTCTATATATATATATATATATCTTTGTTTACACGTATATACACCTTAACAAGCCAGAACTTAGCTTTCGTGGTCAGGTTCCCATACACTCTACAGGTTGATTTATCTGCAAGCCTATAACTCCACTTGTAACTACCCATGAACCTCCAAGTATGGTCCCTCCACGGGACCCCCTATAGGACCCCTTATAGAACCCTCTTATAGATCCCTTAAAGGAGCCTTATAACCACCCATGAACCTCCAAGTAGGGTTCGAGATCCTAGAGCCCGGCAATGCAACGATTGCAGAGTGGCATAGTGAAGTGTTCAAGCCGGAGTTGGCGCCCTGCGATCCTCAGCACTCAAGGCTAAACCCTAAAACCCTAAAGCCCTAAAGCCCTAAACTCTAAGCACTCAAGCCGTATAAACCCTCAGGCACCAATCCTGGGGTTTAAGGCTAAGGGTACTGTGACTCCGTGTGCAGCCCCTTTCTTTTAAACATCCTCTGGAACGCTCATCTTGCGTACAAGTGTTTAGATATTCACAGGCATCTACATTATAAGACATAGAGTATAAAGTATATGTAGTATAGTGTATGTTCATTATACAGCAACCCTAAACCCATAAACCCTAAACCCTAAACCCTGAACCCTAGCCTAACCGGCCGAACCCCCAAACCCTAACCCGCCCCAGCAAGGCGCTGATTTTCTCCACCCTGGCTGCGGCCTATATCAAGGAGGCCTGGGGCGCAGGATTTCCCAAAGCCCTGCCCGGAACCCTTTAACCCAGGAGCAGAGTAGGATTTAGGGTTTAAATGGTTTGGGTTTAGGTGCAGGGTTTTGGGGTTTAGGGTTCAGGGTTTAGGGGTTTAAGATTCAGGGTTTAGTGGTTTGGGGGTTAGGGCCTTAACTTAGGCCCTACTCGGACCGCAAAATACCTACCTACACATGTCTAGGACTCCTTTTTCTAGTGCGTTTGTATAAGTCCTGACAAAGGTAGCTGCCTGTTTGATTCATGGGGTCCAGGCACCAGAAGACGTTGTGAGAAAATATCAGGAATATACAATAAACAGGCACAAAGCCTGTAGAGTTTGTGTGTGTGGGTTGTGACAGAGCCTGTAAAGCACCGAAACACCCGAAACACTACAAACCCTTCGAAGAGGCCGACAGAACCCCAAGTCCAGGCTCGCAAATGGATTTCTGGGGCTTGACATGGTCTTATATGGGTGTCGTGGGCCATGGAGAAAGAGGGTGTTTTACAAAGCCTGTACAAGCGGGCTTGATCGGATTGTTTAGGGCCCCAAGGGCTCACCTGTAACGCCAAAGCCTACTATTGCGTAGGCTATGACCCCTGAATTGTAGGGATGCAACACTCAAACCAATAGGTTTGTTCTTCCAACTTGTTGGAGGATCTCGGGACTCGAGTCGGATTTTGTACGATGGTGGTAAATTTGTGACGTCTACTACATACTTCCCTACGGGGACCTAGATAAAACCCCAAGTCCTAACCCCTAAACCCCTAAACCCTGAGCCCTCAGATAAGCCCCAAAGTTTGCTCTCCAATGCGCCTCGAATCCAGGCCCTGGAGTGAAAGTGGCTGCGATGCCCTTCGGAGGACTGACTGCCCCTCAGGGGGCGGGGTGGGAAGGTAGACTAGCACAGGATTCCTTTTTGGGGTTGTGGTCATTGTCGTGGTCATGGTCTGGTGGTGGTGAACCCTAAACCCTAAACCGTGCCCTCAAAGCCCAAGCCACATCTTCTGCTATCTCAGGCAGCAGAAGCCAGGCCTCGATTAAAAAGAGCGAGCTTCCAGCAAAAGAGAGGTGACTGCAAGAC